GAACTGGTTCCTGAAATGTTCAACATTGCGGAATAGGATGACTGCTCCTGATTTACAATTTGCTCGAAAAAGCAGAGTGTACATACGGTGCACATTTTGCAAAAATGATTTACAACTTGATTCTAAAATGTCAGAAGCAGTAGATAGTAGTGTATTGCACACTCTTTTTTCTCACATTTGTTTTTTTGTAAAAGAATACGTCAGATTACGAAATGATATGCTTATTTATCACTCATGTGTTTGTTATTTAATAAGTATTTATATAAAGTAATAATGAAGAAATTAGAATTATTTATTTTTTACATTAGAAAAACGTCATAAATACAATGTGTACACTTTGCAGGCAAAAAGAAAGTGTACACTTACGTTTGTTTACTTAAACAAAACATGCCAATACGTTTTGTTTGACCTTTCTATTAGAAACTCTAATTCCAACCTTTCTTCCTTGATTACAGCAAACTTCAGATAGTACATTTCTTTTCCCATCAATGTTTTTAGGTCTAAGATCTTCAAAAAATAGTGCCTTTATTAAACCATCATATTATGATTTTTCCTTTTATAAAGAATATTTCACCACCACAAAATCAAAACAAACCCAAAAACCCATCATAACACAACGTTCTGTTCACTCTTTCGTAGATAAACACCAATGGCGTCTACAACTATCTGTTCAGTACCGAGCTGTAATAGGTTCAGCAACTGTTTTTGCAAAACGTGTCAACAATACCTACGCTACTTGCACCACAATAATCATATTGCAACTGAAACTCATGAAATTGATTATGGTCGTCCTGCTAAACGTCAACGTCTTGATGATTGTGCTCCTCGTTCTTGTTGTATAAATGGTAAATATTTGAAATGTGAAAAGAAAATTTAAAATCTAGTAGATGTAAGAGTTAAGGTGGCTGGGTGGTCCGGCCTGAGGCATTGGAGTTGGGGACAAACCCGGACTTATCTGAATCTTGTATTTGAACATTGCTTTGTACTTTGTATCTCTAAGACAAGACCAAGAGCGTTTGCTCTTGATTTAAAAATTAGCGCAGGTCATCTTTACTTGTAAGAAAGACTTTGATTGAAAAATTGGAATTTTTTACTTACTTACAGTCCTAATAGATGTATTAAGGAGATATATATAGGGAATCAGTTTGTTACAATTTTAGTATTCGGGCCACATTTATGACTAAAAAGCTCTACGATTGTGCTCACATAGAGACTGCTATATAAAAGTGAGCTTTGAGAATCATGATTAGTCAATAATAGATCAGAATTGTAGATTTGTAGCTTATAATTAGTAGTCCTTTCAAGTTTATTGCGCATTTTTGCGCAAGCATCAATTCTTTGTTTGCAAATAAAAGGTATGTACTGAGTTTTAACTCCGTAGAGAAATAATATTTTGTCGTATACTTGTTCAACACGCAGTATATTAGACATGTCTGTTTGTTCAATATCAAATATGAGCTTTGTAGCTGTTAACGCTATATAAAATCTCACAACGTAAGACGTCATTGACACTTTTTGATATTTCACTCATTATATTCATAGATAAAGTCCTCAATGAATAGGAGTTAACAAATGAAGATTCTGAAAAAATAATACATGAAATTGTATATTAGTGTTGACATATCTCTTATCCATATTGATACAATACGTACTCTGATTGTTTGAGCATTTTGTCTATTATTTGTTTAGTATCGAATCTACCTGTAAGGAACTTATGACTTTCGAAAAGAGTAATGGAGAAGAATAAAATAATATGTTGGATGAAAAGTACTAGGTATCATAAAGGTGATTCTAAGAGGAGAATAAATTAAAATGGGAGTAGAGTTGTATAACACTAGCAACGTAGCAGTAAAAGACATTCATTAGAATAAAATATGAACAACTCATAGACAAAATATTTAAACGATTGCAGGGAGATCATACAAAAATGATTACCCTATATTTGATAAAGACATCATTGAGAGACAATCGCTCTATATAGAGAGTAGAATTATCGTAGTTGACCTTCATAGCCGTCTTTGTTTATTATTTTTTGAGAATCTTTATTTATCAACTCCTATTCATTCACTACTTTATCTATGAATATAATTAGCAAAATATCAAAAGTGTCAAGAATAACTCAAAATTATCTGTGACATCTTAGGTTGCCTGTATTTATGTAGCGCTAATAGCTAAAACGGTCATATTTGGTTTTCAACAAATAAACATGTCTAACATATCTAGTGTTGAACAAGCATACAAGAAAATAGTAATTCTCTTGGGAATCAAAACTTAGTACAAGTCCTGTATAACCAATGTCCATCGGAGGCATTGTACGTAAGCTCCGATCAACTCCGCTCAATCGATGTTACCAATTTAGCTGATATTTTTACAATAGTTAGGCTTATGTGTGTGATGAATAATCTAAAAATTTCAGTTTAAACGAATGAGCCATTCCAGAAATCTCACTACTCCAAACAAGGGAGAGTGAAAGTCGGGTATATTTGAGGTATTTGTAGGGTAGTCTTTTCTAGTAAATGTTCAATAAATAAACATCACCATTGGAGTCATCGTAGTATGAGTTATTTAAAGATAGCTGAAGGTCAACTAGTTAATTTCGGGGACCTCAAAAGAATGCTTATAGCTCCTGAATAGAGCAAACCATCTGGCTGAACCTTGCGTAAATAGAGAGAGAATAATTTTTCCTATCGGTTCATTGTATTGAGATACAGAAATGAATGGAAAAAGTACTCGGAAAGACATCTTCAAAACATCCTAGGGTTCTCATATAATTGGTCAGGCCCTGAAGTTTTAAAGTCTTCCATACATTTACACGCCCAACTATACAACTTTTTTGAAATCCACAATAGCTTACAAAATACAAACTGTGGTCGCATCACAACTATAGTCTACATGTGTGAGTGTAAAGTACTGCGATCCTGCTTTCACGTTCATTGTATTTTTTTGAATTAAATGGCTTTTTCTCTTACTTAGCAATCGATGTCAACGAGAGAACGAGTATTTTCTTGCCTACTCTACTCAAATATGCCACTTCAGATTATGAAAATGATGTTTACTATTATGATGATGAAAAAAAAGAATTGAGTTTCAAACTTTTGGATATAAATCCATATAAAAGACAACTGCAGCAAGTTTATTCGCTTTCAATCAACGAAGATGAATTGACCAACGAAATGTTAGATATCATCAAACAATATACAGGTATGCATTACTTGAAAACAAATTTGAATTTGCTATCAGATTGTGATATCGATTGGAATTATACTAATAAACTAAGATCAATTATACGTGGTTTGTATCAATTGGATCTACGAAGTGTTTATTATCGAGGACTCGATTTATCGGATATTGAAGTCAATTATTTTAAACAGAAGATTGGTACATGCTACTACACGAATTCATTTTCGTCATTTACGACCGAAAAAAAATTGGCTTTTAGTGGTAATGCACTCATTATATTGAACACAAAAGCAGGTAATCGATTAAATATTGCAAACGTATGGAAATGGAGTTTATTTCCAAAAGAAATGGAAGCAATATTATCAATTGCGGCTCGAGTGAAAATTTTGAGTGTTCATCACGAGGCTGATCGTTGGATAATCGAAGTTGAACTCGTCTGAAATGAGTAACGAAACGAAATGGAAAAAATTTTAAACTGAAATTGTCGTTCTTTACTACATGTTACTCTAATGTCTTCCTTCAATAAAATTAGAATACTTATGAGTAAAGAAAGAAGATGAAAGGCAAGGCAACGCATATTAAGTATAGTCACTTCCAAAATCGATTTCATCTTTAGATAGATCGATCAGACTAGCATCTTTTGTGGATATCAGTCCTAATTAGAAAGAATGGGTTGGTGCATGTGAGTCAAACAACTGTGATCATGATTTCGCCCCTACTAGCGCACACTTAAGGCTGCTTTAGACAGATTATATGTTTAGACGATTTAAAAGGAGAGGGGTATAGGTTTTGGTATGGACGAAGATTAAATGCAACATTCATACATATCTACCCATACCCTCAAGATGAACTATTCAAAACCAGGATTATTAAAGAAATATCATGACAATTCAAAGTATTTGAGAAACAATCGCGAAAAAAGAAATTTAGAGATTTTTCCCAGTCAGAGTCACTCAATAAAAGAACAAATCAAAAACTCGATAGAAAAGTAGTCAACTATTTAAATTGAGCTATACAGTTTAATTAAAAAGTATCTTTTTTGAGAAGCTATGCTTTTCATAGATTTGAATCAACGAATCTAATAGATTTGACAATGCAAAAATGTTCGCTCCAACATTTCAAATAGCATCTATGATAGACTTGCACAATTAAGTTCCGGCTTTTTAATCAAAGCTGCATCTTGTAAAATATTTATGAAAGAAAGGAATCTATGAGAAGCTACGAACAAAAACATTTTTAAAAAATTTTTACTTTATTTTTGCTTTGCGCGCATTTTAATATGCTAATGGATGAGCAACAAGCGAAAAAAAACGTCATATTGTAAAATGATAAAATGTGGTTACAACGATGCGTCTATGGTTTATTCGTTCGATAATGCACGTGCGTCGTAATAACGATTGTTCGTTACACTTTGATGATTTTACTATTCTCTCTCTTGCTTCTTCTATTATACACAGTCCTCATTCATTCGTTCATTCGTTCATTCATGATGCATTGATAAATAAAGGATAGAGATGATTATTTTATATTTTACTCTCAGGCTTTAAAACGATGTAACTGACAAAGTAAGTTTTTGCACTCCGTTTCTTTTCTTTCATTCAATTTAACGACTGATCTTGTTGTTTAAAGTTCATTTCTCGTTAAAATTTTCTATTTGTTTTACCTTTAAATGTATATGATAAAAGACAACTCGTCGACAGTCATTTTTTGATTACTGTGCCAATAGGCTATATCCTTTCATATTCACATATCCACGTTATCTCATGTTTATATAAGCCTTGGTTCTTAGTGTAAACAAAATAGAAGTAGACCTCGGCCTTCTATCTCATATATGAAACATAAACATGTCTATCCTTGTGTTTATGGTTAGTAGACGACAATAGTCTATCGAATGTATGAAAATGGGGGAGTAAAGAGAGAAAAAGGAGTAGAAGAATTAGAAGATAGCATAATTTTGTTGTAATCACGATTGACGATCAATTCATTTTCTCTTGCTCATTCATTTATAGATCTTTAATCATGATTGACGATCAAAATCGAAACGAAGATCAAAATGATAAAGGAGACAGTTCTACTGCTAGTACATTAACAACATCAAAGTCGTTGAGCAAAAAAACAAAGAAAAAATCGACTGCTGCTACAACAACAACCAATGTCCCTGATGGAAATAGTATAGATGGCGAGAACAACAGTGTGAATAGAAAAGGATCTTTTATGTTAAAAATAATCTATAAAAATTTCTCTTTTTAGCAAAAACTTACAGAGAAATCAATGCGAAATTTAATGAAACAAGTGACACTTACCGAACAAGCTGCTGTTCATAATAATAATGAAAATGCACCGAAATATGACGAAAAGTCAGCATCAAAACAAGAATGGAAATTTTGGCAAACACAACCTGTACCTACAATTGGTACAAAAATTGATACAACCAATATTGGACCTATTGAATCAAATAAATCAGTAGATGAAATACGACAAGAACCCTATGAATTACCTAATGGTTTCTTCTGGGATGATATTGATATTCATGTTGATGAACAAGTATATTGAGAATCTTTGTTACGATTTAATAAATGACATGCCATTTTTTTTCTAGTTACAGGAATTGTGTACGTTCTTAGACGAACACTATATTGAAGATGATGGTAATAATTTTCGATTGAAGTATTCCATGCCATTTTTACGCTGGTAATTTATATACAATCGAGAAATTGTTTTTTTTTTAAATGTATTCAGATCTTTTCAGGGCTTTATGTGTGCCAGATTGGCTTAAAAAATTCCATGTGGGAGTTCGTGTAACGAAAAGTAGTAAACTGGTTGGTTTTATCAGTGCTGTGCCAATTCGAATAAGAGTCTATGATAAGTAATCAAGATTAATTCGTCTCGTTTTTTTTTTATTCATTTTGTTAAAAATAATTAATAGGGAATTATCAATGGTAGATATAAACTTTTTATGTGTTCACAAAAAATTACGACTTAAACGCTTATCACCCGTACTTATTAAAGAGATAACACGTCGTGGGCATTTGGAAAAATATTTTCAAGCAGTATACACAGCCGCTCCTTTCCTACCTGGTCTTGCCTGCAAAGCTAGGTATGCATTGTTTTCCATTATTTTTTCAAAAGATGAAAATACTTTCTATACCTCTTTGAATTCAGATATTGGCATCGATTGCTCAATGTCAAAAAATTGTTGGCCATCAAATTTGCCTTTTTAGGACGAAATGTGACAATGCAACGAATGCAAAAAATATATCGACTACCTGAGGTCTGTAGAAAATATTTTTCATCTTTTCTTTCATGTACATGTTAAGAAATTAGAGTTCATTAATATTTTCTTGAAATAGACGACACAAGTGACAGGCTTTCGCGAAATACGCGATGCTGATATGCCTCAAGCTTGGAAAATACTCACTCAAGTATGTCGTTTTTCTCTTACGTTGTTATTTTTGCTCTATGTCATTCTTGAATTAGTATCTGACAAAATTCGACCTGGCGCCGGTATTTTCCCTTGATGAATTTGAATATTTATGTAAAAATCGGTCAAACATTGTGAGCGCATTTGTTGTTGAAGTAAGAAAAAACTTTCATCGTTATCTTTTCACTATTTGACTGGATTTGTTTTCTCAATAGAGTGATCAAGGCGAAATAACCGATTTTATATCGTACTATCATTTACCATCAACAATTATAAATCATCCAGAATACAAGACATTGAATGCATGCTACATGTATTATTATGCTGCTAGTCGAACACCATTGACTGATCTCGTCAATGATTGTCTTATACAAGCACACAATGTAAGGAGTCAAACGAACATTTTTTTCTCAAATTAATAAGGTTTTTTTTTGAAGAGTGGTTTCGATGTATTCAATGCACTCGATATAATGAATAATAAGGAGTTTTTGAAAAAACTTAAATTTGGTGATGGTGATGGTAATCTACAATATTATGTGTACAATTGGAAATGCCCATTGATGCCTCCCGAAAACGTTTGTTGTATTTTTTTAATATTCATATATTGATTTATGTTTTTTTGTTTAGATTGCAGTGATACTTCAATAATAGAATCACATATCATAGGACAACTCTACTCACGTCAATGACTGTTCTTATTGCATTTTTTTCTTCTTCATCTCTCGCTGTTTTTTTTAATTTACTTTTCATATTTAAAAAGCCACGAATATGGGAGGATCAGAAATCAACAGAGGTGCAAAATAAAGATTAATCATCAGAAATATACCTACAATAACAATAAGAATATTTTTGAGTGTGCGTGTGTGTATTGATGAGAAATTGATTCGGTGAATATCTTTCGGCGAAATTTATTATTGGAAAAAAGTTTTCGGCAAAAGTGGAATTTTTCAAAATTCCAAGTATTTTGCTACAGATATATATTGACAAATATATTCTACTAAAAGACATTGCTGTTTTTAAATATCATTGAAAATATTTAAATCTATTCAAACACAACTTCTCCTGAAATTTTCTATAAATATTTTTAGTTGGTTAAAATATCTAAAATATATTAAAAATAAAATAGATATTCAACATTGGAATACTGCTTGGTATCATGCATCAGTACGTTGTGCAATTCAAATAACATTCAATCAATCTCATCATGATCAAACAACACAATTAATGACTAATTTTGATTCAAATTCATTATTACAATCAACATTACAAAAACATAAAATAAATTTATATTATTTATTACATTTATCTCTCTTTCATATTAAAATAATCTACATGGAATTTTTGCACAATAAATAAAGACATTTTCTATCATTCTTAGTGTGAACCTTACTTTTATGATCATATCTCTAGGAATAAATCTCACATGAATAATACAAAAAGATATTAGTCATCATCATCTTTGGAAACAATCTAAAACATTTTATATAATGATTTTATCACAAAATTCAATTTTATTTTAATAACTGTATCTATCTTCAATAACTTATTCCGTGATAAGACTATATTTATAATTCATAATATTAATTATTTGATTATTTTGTTCAAATTCTCCATCGATAGTAAATCGATTTTTGTATTATTTGCATAATATTCATCAAACGAATAAATTAGACAATGAAAATAAAGAAGATTTGATAGCGAACGTTGTTTTCAGTTAATCTCCATGCTAAAGTAATTAATTCAAATAGATTCAATGAATACATCAGCGAACAATCAATTCAGATAAGAAATAATCGAAGACGATCTTGTTGGATGTAGGAACGAGTATAAGTAATTATCAGAATATGCATTCATATCAACACCATCTTATGAATCATGTACATAAATTTTTTTGTTTCGTAAGCAAGTTACTTATACGTATTTAATGATGCGCAATATTCGTGACCCCCTCTTTTTCTATAAATAAGACGCTGTTATTAACTACTAACGTTAATTTTTTTATTCTTTCATTTATGTTTT